ATGACAGGTCCTGGTCAGAAATAATAACACCAAGAGTTTTTACTTTATTACGTGAGATCAATTATATCCATCCAAATAAGGTGACTGACTAATCAGCTTATTTTTCAAAGACTATAACTTCTGTTTTGTCTGCATTCAGAAGGAGAAAGGGTTTTGTGTCTTCAAGACATGCCTGTAATCTTTTAATAGGTTAGCTTCATCTGGACAACCTGAATCAATCAAAGTCAAAGAGATTTGCATAACTATAAAACTTCTTTGCTGCACACTCAACCAATTCCCCTAAAGACATCAGCTTAGCCAATCAATTGTTGTTGTGTGCACACCAGACAGACTGCAGGATGTCACTCAGATATTTTAGTTACAATTCATGGTGTTTATATTCTTTTTTTTTTTACAACAATAGTAAGAAGTTTTGTAGGAAAACATTTTATTTTTTAAGGGGTAATTCCTTTTTGGGCATTTAAACCTCATTTACTCAGGCGAAGAATAATTAACTCTCATATTTTATCATCTGCATCCTCCTGCATGGCCTCTGTCGGCTGTTTCCAATATTAGCAGTTTAGGAATTGTACAAGTTGAGAAATCTCTTATAAAAAAGGAGTATTTTTAATTGTTTGGGTTGCTACTAAACTATAATAAAATAACAATCAAGACCCATAACTGATTAAAACATTTTAATTACACAGCTCAAGAGTGGTTTGTTTACAGGTTAGAACGTTTGTGTGAAGTTAAATGGTCATGAGTAAACATGAAGATTGAAAAAAAAAGTTAAATGAATAATAATAATTAATTGGTTTCAATTATTCCACCCCATGGAATAATTGATAGAAGATGGGTGGACTAATAAAGTTTTAACATTACTTCCAAAATTTTCTTGTTACTTTTCAATATAAATGATTGATTGTTTCTGGATGATCTTTGCAGAATGTACAGTATATAATCCTGTGCAACAGTTTAATAGAAAAATCTCTTATTTTGTTTTTTATCAAAAGTGTCTGATCAGATTTGTTCATATTTGCTTCCACTGTGGATCCCGTACAAAGTTCATCTGACAGAAAAATGCTGGAGTTACACTAATCACATCCCTTTGCTAAAAAAGGGAAAAAAAGCCTTGACTTACTTTAAAAAAAAAATCACAATCTTTAAAAAGTTCACATATTTAATTTGTTAAAGTACCAAACACAACATTATGCTCTTTAGAAGTTAAAGCAAGGTCATATTTGAGATTAAATAATTCAGACTTTGCAGGGGTTGACGTTAAGGATTTTTACCACTTGCCCATAGGGCAAAAAAAAGTGACTTTCACATTTCATTTGCCCAGAAAATTTTTTTTACTTGCCCAGTATAATGTTTGATAAATATAGTTCCTAATATTCATTTTTGTATATTTATCAATGAAACATGTTTGTTTTTTAAATATTTTTTGTAATTCAGTATTTTTTAAGTTTACAGGTTCCTGGTGTGTATCTGCATGCGTCAGATAATGAACTCAAGCCTACATTACCGTGTTAACATGCTTTTCAATCCTTCCTGCACATTCTTTTCAAACTAAACTTTGCTTTAAACTGTTTTGTGCTTGGAAAAATATAAATTGTAATGTTAAAAATCTAAAAAAAAACTAGACAGGTTAAAAACTTAAGATAAATCAGAAGTGAATGTCACAAATGAAACTTTTATTTTAGAGTCACGGTATGTTTATACAAGATAATACTATTAATATAATGGGACTTTTCTAGAGAATCATTATACATAGTTATTTTATACAGGGTTTCCACAGTCTTACATAATTTCAGAATTCCCTGACTTTAAACTGACTCAGGATTAGTTTTCCCTGACAAAATAAATGCAGCAACAAAACAATAATAATAACATAACAGGTCACCAATTTAACATGTTTAGCTCTATAACATTTAAATGCACCTCTCCAATGTCTGAGAGAAAAAAATGTCATGAAAATTTTTTAATGTATGACCTGCATAACTGTACAGAAGACTGCCATATGATAGCGCTTTCTAGCTTGTTTGTCGTGTTGGTAACTACATCTAAATTACCGCTAGGTGGACAAAAATCACTAGCCTGGTTGCCATTCCGAACGTAGTCCCGCCCACAGGGTTTGAGGTCGGGAAGTTCGGTCTGGCATTGCTCAATAGTAGCAGGAGTATGCTCGCACAATATCTGGCGGGCCAATCAAATTGTCAGGGCGGGCTTTATACGATGATGGACAGATGATTAACAGGAACGTAATCAACCACGTGACCAAAGCGCGCATGGGTGACAACAACAATGGCTGCCACTGGAGAGTTGAGGTGTGTAGATTCTGCTATTAGGTCTGTTCTAGAAGATATCGACAGCAAATTAATTTTAAAGGAGGAACAGAGAAACGCGATCAAGGCATTTGTTGAAAAGAAAGATGTTTTTGGCGTCCTTCCTACGGGATTCGGCAAAAGTTTAATTTATCAGCTGGCTCCCTTGGTCGCTTAACATACGTCACGCACTCCGTTGCTCTTATTGGTTGTAGGTCTATCCAATTGAGTGCAGAGGCATTTTTTTTTTTCCTGGTTCGTTCGAAACACGCCCCATAATCACAGCTCTATGGAGCATCATATTCTGATTAGAATTGAGTAGGACTACATCAGGCTAAAAAATCACACCATCTGGCGGAAAATCGCCAGGCTTTGTCAAATCACGCGACTTTTTCAAATCACGCAAGAATGTGTACAAAACAACAAAAATGGCGCCGGCAACGCTTCTGGGTCGTTTTCATCGAATGTCAGTGATTTTAAAGTAATTTTGAATGATAATTTTTATTTTTTTGCGATCATTGTTCTTGCCCGGCGGGCAAATGCAATGAAATTTGTACTCTCCCGACAATAAAAACTACTTGCCCCAGGAGATCGGGCAATGGTTAACATCGAGCCCTGCTTTGTACTCATCAGTTTTCCTCATATAGCTGAATATTGACTTATTTTTGTAAGAAATGTATTTTTTATTCTAAATAATGCATTCAATAGGGGAAAATTATCATTATAAATTTGTGTCAAAGAAAGAAGTGTTTCTAAAGAATTTCTGATAGTTGAATTGGTATTTTTTCTACGTTGGGATAACAGAGGATGACTAGATACATTTGAAACGATTTAATTTGGCAAAATATTCCCCCAAAATATTCCAAAATAAGGTTTTGCTGTGCAAAACCTTATTTTGAGTTTTTTTGCTGTGCATAACCTTATTTTGAACAGCAGAGGGCACTACATCCCATCTACGTGGCCGGAAGTTAAACTTCATTTTAAAGCAGAAGTTCATTAACCGTCACTTTTATTTAGCACTAGCTAGCGTTAAACACTCGTCAAATATAATTGCTGTTCAATTTAATGGACTAGCTGTTTAAGGTGGCCGTCTGGAAATAAACTAATGAAGAAGATGTGAAGTAATGCAGACTCCAAACGGTGAGATATTTGTGTTGAAGGTATTTGTTTTATCTGTAGCTAGCCGCCTACACAGCTAATGTTAGCGTAGCAGCTACGGCTGATGCTAAAGGTAGAAAAGAATCAATTGATGTCATTCAGCTCTCCGGTTTATAGAGGCGCTTAAGTAGTGTAATATTTTCCTTCTATAAACGGTTTTTGTTGTTCGTTTAATACTGCGGCCTGCAAAAGACAATGATGGGTTAGGTGGTGAAACGATGCTTTCCACGCTGATGTCTAAAAGTAGGGCACTGAAACAGGGTTTATTATATAAAATGATTATATTGATGGTGTATAATGTGGTAGAATTGTCTGGAGTTGCAGGTATACATGCCCATGGTTACATTTTGTTTCAGGTTTAGCTGTTTTACTATGAGCTCCCTGTCGGCCCAGCCTCAGGCTTCAAGCTCGTCATGCAGGACGCTTCCAGGAGAGGGTAATCAGGTACAAATAATGAAATCCTGACATCATATAGTTTAGTTATTGTTAAACTCATACTAAAGCAACCCTTTGTTCTCTTGTTCAGATGAAACCTAAAGCCCCTCTTCTGCAGATCTTGCGTGTGGCTGGAGCAAAGGAGGATGTATTCACTCTCAAAGAGGTGAGCTGCCTGATCAGATGTGAATAATCAGCTGACTTTTGCAGCCTGGCTAACTTGTAAAAGCACCAAAGGGATGGCAGGATGTTCTGTTATTTAAAAGGAGTGGGTATTTGAATTTAAATCGATAGAAACTCAGTTTCTTTTTGGGACAGTTTGGGTTGCATTATGTTGTAGGTGTGTCAACATTCCTTCTGCAACAGTGAGGACCCAGCTGCCCTGCACATTCCTGAAAGTAGGGGTGTAAATCACACCCATCATGGCGATTCGATTCAGTATAATTTTCCTGATCCAACCATTCGATTATTTTCGATATTCAAGAATACACTTCGATTCGTTGTTTATTTATTTTTTCCATAAGGGCTAGATAACGTTTTAAATTTCAAATAAATCAATGAAAGCTGTAATATCGTTATGCATTTTATTTGAGAAACGACAGCAAATAACAGAAGTAGCAAAGTTGTACTGCACCTATGCCTATGAAACCCTCATTCCATGAAAAATAATAATGCCTTTGTTATATAGTCTAAAAGGCCTTGCATCAAAAAATACTGCAAGCAGAAAGAGGGTAGTGGCTAAAGGAAGCAAGGTAGAAGGGCAAAATAGGTTTAGCGCCACCGCAGCATGGTAGTCAGAATTACATCCAGGAGCAAATGGATAAAAAATAATCTTGCAGACGTGTCGATGCATCGGATCGGGAAACTCATTGCTTTAAAGATTAATATCCAGAGATAAACAAGGCTTTGGATGCTTAATCAATATGCAGACTGCATTCCATGAGGTGCAAATTCTGTGTTTACTTATCGAAAGGGTTTGTTTATTTATTCTTTTTTAAGGAGCTGGTAACCAGAAATAATTTAGTGTATTTAATTTTCTGTTAAAGGGGAATTGGTGATGGTTTATAGGGCTAATAGTATCTACAGCAGCTCCTGCTGTCTTGGATTGCCATGAATCCAGATTAGCTGGTTGACTTTTACTATTACAGTTAGAAAGGAGTTGGTCTAGAAGCAATTTGAAGTAGGGCTGTGAATAAAGAATCAAGTTTCTGAATCTGAATTGATTCTCGTTTATTTCTAAAGATCGAGTCATATAACCAAAAACTGATGAAATTATAGCTTTTTTCGCTGACACCATCAACTACCATAGCTTTGAATGTCAATATAATGCTACTATCAATATGTTGCAAACCTATAGAGCCAAAAAAAAAAAAATGTAATACCAGCGATCAAGTTTGAGATCAGTACAGATCTGTTGGAAAAGAATCGATTCTAGATCTTGAATTCTTTAAAGTCGTAGGGGAACCATAGTTAAATGTCAAATCTGGCTTAAACATGTATATAAATGTTCTCTTTATCAGACCACATTGTTCTTAAATGTTAGAAAATTTCAATAAATAAAAAAATCCTGTCTTAAAATCTGTTTTTTTTTTCTCCATCATCTTAAGCAGGCCAGTTTGTTATACGTCAGCTTGTACACCTAAATTAGGCCAATCATTTATCAACAGTCATCATTCGGTCATAGCATCTTGATTAATATATTGCAGCTAATGTATGCAATGGATGAAATAAGAAATAACAATCATTTACTTTACCAACGTCCCAGTGTTCACGGGGATGGACGTCTGTGTCCTCAGCAGGCGTAGAGCTAACAGAACTGGCAGCGTTGTGAGGCAAGGGCTCAAACATGTACGGCTGGAAGCCTTCTACACCAAGCCAAGCTTCGGCTGCCCTGGCGTCCTCATCCACAACATCTTCATCCCCGCTTTCCTCCTCTGAATAAAAAAATGGATGACGTAGGAGACTCGTCCACGACCTCCGACACTAAACTCTCCTCCTCTCGCATGTTTCCGCTGTCCATAGCGTTCCTTGACAGTGTCGTTTCTAAGTCACCAATTTAGTGCTACTTGGTCCCAATAGAATTTTCCATTGGGAACCTACTAGCGCTAAGTTGCTAACTGATTAGCAAGATGCTTCCGACAAACCGGCCACAATCAAACTTGCTACGAACCTTCCGCCACAACAATCCCGCCCTCTTGATGTACGGCCGATCACATTCACTTTATTCACTTGTGTAAAGTCGTGCACCACTCGGGAGAATTCGGAAATGCAATGTTAGAACGCCCGTTTCCCTACGACTTTAAATTAATACCCAGCTTTAAGTTTATCCACTTTGAACATCTGATTATTTAAAAAAGGGGGAAAAAAATCGACAGGTGTTTTCCTTTTAATTTGTTCAGGTGATGCACTATCTGGGTCAGTACATCATGGGGAGGCAGCTATATGACAAGCAACGGCAGCACATAGTCCACTGCCAGGATGATCCTCTGGGGGAGCTTCTGGAAGTTGAAAGCTTCTCTGTCAAAAATCCGAGGTATTTATTGTCGCCTATACGTGCATGAAAAGCTGTTTACAATTTGACAGAAGCTAATCCTAAATGTGATTTTGCAGCCCGGTGTATGAAATGCTGAAGAAGTACCTCATTGTGCTTGGCTGTGGTAAGTTTTTACTTTATCTGGTGGCTTAATCTGATTTAAAATATATATATATATATATATATATAAATGAATAAGAAAGTTGGCTTGCTTCAACATGTTTTTTACATTCCACTGAATTAAATGAAAATCTGTAATTCTTTGTCATTTTATTCTTTTTAATGGACTCCTGTTTTACTTGCAAGAGTATATCTGGGAACTTTTAGATTGTAAATATTGTTTCCTCCTGGAAAAAGAGAGTAAACACATTTGAGCTTTAACAACATATGAGGAGATAGTGAGTTTCTTTTTTCCTCTGGCCAAGAAGAGGAGTTTCCAGCCTTTCCAATCCAGCAAAGAGACTCCACATGTCTAAAGGCCGTAGTGAGAGAGAGTGTATTCTGGTATAATTAAAAGGGGGGATGTCCTTTTGTCTGTTACTATGTCTCATCTGAAATGCAGACGCTGCAGAGAATCTTTCTGTGGGCCGTGAGTGTGTAGATGGCGGAGTGGAGGATCGTGGTCAGGTAAAGCCGAAGCATGGTGCTCAGGAGAAACAGAGACCCTCAGACTTTATCCACCTCACTGCACACAACACTCACAAGCAAGAGCCAATTGAATTGCAGAATTTCTGCTCAGATGTTCCAATTTTTTTTAACAAGATGATTTCTAAAATATTGCCTTTTACTATTTGAGTTAAATTAAAAGGGATTTCCTTCTGCTTGTGTGCACTGAGGCAGGTGAGAAACGGTCTGCTGTCTTCGTTTGGTGTACATCTGTACAGAGTGGCACCGTCTCTGTACACCCCATCCTTGGTTTGGTCTGGTGGGGTTTTTTCCATCACTGTTTTTGTGACCCACCAGCTCCACCCAGTGGATGGGGCGGGGCAGAGTCACTGTCTCTGTCTGTCTCAGAGTTCTCTTCTCTGCTTCAGTTTGGAGGATCTCAGCTCCTAATCAGTCACAGGCCTAATACCTCGAAATCTATTCATCTGCCCACCTGCTCCTGTTTGACCTTCTATCTGTTCTCCATCAAATCTCATTTAAATCCTTTTCCCTACTTCTTTATTAATCTGAGGTCACCTTCTTTTAGTTGCACAACTAAAGGGATTTATCTATTTGGAGTTGCTGCATGGTTTGATCAAACTTGGAATATGTTTGGAAGGGGTTTCTTATGGCTTCTCTATTTTCATGCAGCTAAACCATGCAGCTATGAATGTCTTTTTTTTTTCTAACTTTATCAGAAATTTGTTGCTGTTCATTGTCTGTCCTGTTTCTGTAGAAGATTATTAGTTTTACGCCAATGCCATTTTTTGCCCCTGATACCGATACCTGGCTGTGCAGTAGGGATGGGAATCGAAAACCGGTTCCTGTTCAGAACCGGTTCAATGTGTTCCAATTCATAAGAACTGTTTGGCAGCTCGCTTAATGATTCTCTTAACGATTCCAGGCAGCACCAGAGCCTAGCGCTGGGCAGCACAACTTGCATCATGATTTTTACGCAAGGTACGCTCATGGCATTCAGTAAGCAAGTATGACGTGACCAGGCGTAAGTCTAGAAAAGCAAAAAAAAAGAGGTTAAAGCAATCAAAAGCTTGGCTTCATTTCAAGGAAGAGAAAGATGGCAACAAGGTGCTTTGCAATCATTGCAAAGTGGCAATTACATCCACAGGAGGAAATGAGTCCAACATGCAGAAACACCTGGGTTCACAACATGGCATACATTTTATTGAATGCCATGTTTTTAATGCTTCTGGACAGAAGCTAAAGTTACGGGCCCGGACAATGGTATCGGTATCGTTGCAAAACTTAAGATATACATTTAAATGAGAACAATAACTACAAATGGCAAGCAGTGCTGCTAGAGCAATAGCAAGATGTTTATTGATATTTTAATTAGTGCCCTGGGTTTTTCACCTTCTTTCTTCTAACAATTACTGCTTTAATTCAGGGATTAATTCAAATAATGAATAAAGCCTTTTCTGGTTTCTTCCTAAATCCCCTGCCTTATGCCTTTTTGCACCACCTCTCCATTATTTAAGGCCAATCTTGAAAAGGAGCTGTGATACCTCCAAGTATCCAGTTATCGTTCTGTGGTATAATGTCTCTCCCCCCCCATGTTTTTCTCCTATTTAGATGTGTGAGGGTGTGGTTAAAGCAGGAGTGGCGGCCAGAAGCGATGGGCCTCTTCTGCCGACCCCCTCTCAAAGACGACCTCGTGATCCAGACGACGGTGAGTGAGCGGCATCAGAACGCTTCAGCTGGAGCCGCCTCAGAAAGCAGAATTCAACTGTTCAAAACCTCTGCAGAGTCCCTGGACGGCCTCCCACGATCAGCCTGCAAACGGCCCAAACTTGACGTCAGTCTGGAAGAGTGGGACCTCTCTGGTCTGCCCTGGTGGTTTCTGGGTAATCTCCGTAACAACTACAGCCGCAGGAGCAATGGCTCCACTGACATCCATACAAACCAAGTAAGAAAACTCAAAGAAATGTGCAGGAAAAGCTTCCCAGCATTTCTCAACTTGATAAATTGGCTTAGCACTTAAAATTTATGTTGAATAATAATTCCTGAGAAGAAAACATGTCCAATATTAAGGACAGTTGAAAAAAAAAATAAAAATCTTGTTGTTTTTTTTTATTTTTTTATTTGGAAACTAAAAAACCTTTTTTTTTTTTCCAAGCAGTAAATTAAAAACAATTCCCTAACATGATATTTATGTCTTCGATAAGCTGCGCTCTGTCTCTAAAATGTGGGATTTGATATTTAACTGATACATGTTGATCAAAACGTCCAGATTAGGGCCGGGCGATAAAGCCAAAGCTTCTATTACGATATGTGTTCATTACGGTTGATGTATATTTTTGTGTGTTTTTTTTTTTTTTTTTTTTTTTTTTTTGTAAAACCTACATTTCTAAGATCAAGACTTCAGAACAGCATCCATATTTAAAGTTTTGAAGTCGTGTTCAATATATAAGGTTCATTCACAACATCACTATCTACATGTGAGAGAGCAGTAACTGCATTAAGGCGTTTTATTAACTAAATTAAAGGCATGCCGTGTAACTTATGGCCACTGGGGGCGCTAGATCTGTAACTGCCCATATTAATACTTCTACTAAACTTAGAAAATAATAACGTATGTTTGGGGAAAAAGAAGCTCAAGGTGGAGAAAAAGCTAGAGAATGGAAAAAAATTCAAATTTCAGCAAAAGTGGCTGGAAAACAAGGTATTCGGGACATGGCTGCAGCCATATTTATATATATGAGAGTCATGGGTACTTGTTGATGGAATTAAACTTATTTCTAAGAGCATTAAAAGCATTGAAATAGAGTGACTCATTCCTGTATAGACCCTGTTCTTTATGTTTATTGCATATCTGACGACTAATCTTATCTGGCAGTGGGTGGTAGTCTGACTGATGAATCAGCTGTCTCTTGCACAGGAGGAGGACACGGCCATCGTTTCAGACACCACCGAGGACTTGTGGATTCTGACAGAGGGAGAGAGCGAACAGGTTAGCGTGGAGATGAAGGAAGCTGCCTTGGAAGAGGGAAGTGGAGGAGAAGAAGGTTCTCTGGATGATGACTATGGAGGAAAGGAGGAAAAATCAGACAAAGAGGTAATGGAACATTCACTGTAGACCAGAGTCTTCCACCTGTGGATCTTTAGAAATCCCACACTGTCACTTCATCGCTTTGACTAAAACATGATAAAAAGCTGTTTTTTTTTCTTTTGAAAAGAAATAATAATAAATGCAGGTTTTAGTGTCTTTTTTTCCTATTCACTAACTGGATTATGGAAAATATATTGACTAAATATATCAGCAATATTTGTTTTTTTAGCTTTTCAAGTGGAGATAAAAAAAATGTAAATAATTTTCACAAATTTCAGCCACTGATTAAAAATGTATTACATCTCTTTTTGCAAGTTTTTTCCCCCCCTTGGTTTTAAACCTTAAATATGAAATAGCACAGTGATTATTTAAAAAGGACAAATTTCCTCTGATAGATCTTTTATTAAAAATCAGTTTTCTTTCTTTTTTTAAAGTCATGTAATTTTTGTGCCACTAACCAGTTTTATTAGCCGTAGTGAAGTCAGAAATAATTTTGAATTGTAAAGGGAGCAGAGCCCAAATCAACACCCTACCGACCCATTCCTCATTTTAGCCTAAGATCGACTCTTTAATTCCATTAATCCAACATTTTATTTATCCCATTAGTCACAAGAGGATTTTTTTTAAAGGTTTTCATCTTGAGATGTTTTCTTAGATGGCATCTGCAAGCAACAGGCTGGATGTCTTTTTTTTTTAAAGCAGGGAAACTGATAAGAACACAAGATAGAGGGAAATGCAAATTATTTTATGACACTAACATATGAAAATAGAAGACACAACAAAACAGTTGAGGGCTGCTTATACTCCCGCAGCAGAGTGTCGCAGTGAGCTTGTTGCAGATGTTTTTGATTCCACGCCACAACACAACAAGGACAATCATGAACTAGCTGGGATCTAGATACCGCCGAGGCTTTGAGGAAGTGGGTGCAAGTTAGTGCGACGGCGGAGGGACATGAGGACGAAAAGATTGGGGATCCAGGTGAAAAAAGGGTCCCAGCGTTCTCGCGCACCTCGCTCTTCTAGCTGGTCCATCTTTACGAGTCGTTTTCCACAATGGCGGTCATCCAAACAAAACAAGCAGTAAGGTACCAAACAGGAAATGTGAATAGTGTACAGCGGATGTAGATTTGACCAATCAGAGGCCTCCTGTCTGCATCACTGTCTGAGGTCACCTACAGTTCTGGAGAGGTGCAGCAGAGTGTCTGTGTAAGGGGCGGGGCACATTTGCATTCACTGCGACACACCTAGACGACCTGATTTCTGAGTGTAAATCAGCCTTTAGATCTTGATTTATTTCTGTATTTCCAGATGCAAGAAGAACCAGATGAAGAGTCTCAGTGTTTGAGTGACGACACTGATACAGAGATCTCCACGCAGGTTTGCATCTCCATGCCAGTTCAGCTTTTTTACATTTGCTGAATAAAAAGTCAAAGAAACACACTTGACTTTGTGTCTGCCTCCTTCCTCAGGACGCATGGCAGTGCACCGAGTGCAGGAAATACAACACACCGCTGCAGCGCTACTGCGTTCGCTGTTGGGCTCTCCGAAAAAACTGGTACAAAGACGTTCCCCGGCTGGCTCACTCTCTTTCTGTCCCAGACATCCCAGCCTGTAGCCTTCTCTCTGCCCACGACGAAGAAGACGACAGCGACGCCGGCATCGACGTCCCAGACTGCAGCAGAACGGTGTCGGACCCCGTCATCCTGCCCTCCCACTCCACAGCTGACCGACCCATTCCCACAGCAGGTATGGGCAAAGGCAAAGGGCCGATGCCTTCTGGCTTCCACCGGGAGGCTCAGCTCTCAGAGGGGGAAAGCCAGGAAAGCCTGGGCATGGAGGTCCAGGATGTTCGGCCGGAGGCGCTGCGGGAGCCCTGCAAGCTGTGTCGAGTGCGTCCTCGTAACGGAAACATTATCCACGGGCGAACGGCTCACCTGCTCACTTGTTTCCCATGTGCACGGAGGCTGCATAAGTTTCAGGCTCCTTGTCCAGGGTGTGGGAAGATTATTCAGAATGTTATTAAGATATTTATCCTCTAAAAAGCACATGAAGGGATCTGTAGGGGTTAGGGACCTAAATAGAAACACAACACACAGATAAACACATTAACCGTTCTCATCTGCAAAAATCAACCAAAATATCCCAAAAACGACAGTTGATAAAGCTTGCCCCTCATTTCTGGGTTTATTCTGCCTCTAAGGTATCGTTGGACGAAAAGGTTTGTAACTAATATGTTCTTTGCTATTTCATTTAAATAAGGGACAAGGTAGAGTTATTTATTTATTTATTGTTGTACACTCATATTTGGCAATTTGAGGTTTTATTTGATCTTATGAAGGTTTTTTTATTTTTATTTTTTTGTACGGCTCCATAATTATTCCTAACCTCATCCCTTTACACCAAGCTTTAGAAGTTGGATTAGTTAAAAAGTTATCTTCTGGATTAATTGGATCCTTTTTTATTTTAATAGTTCTGTGAAAAATCATCTTATAAGAAATTTGAGCCAAAGCAGGTCAGAGTATCCGTTTGACCTGCTTCTCATTTACCTAAGCTTTATTTTAAAATTTATCGCCAGCCTCATAAAAATAATAAACAAAAGCATTTGTAATAGATGGATGTTGGCTTATATATTGTTCCAGATATAGTAAATCTAATGAATAGAGCAACTGTAACGTTTTGCTTGGTACAAGTTTTAGTTTAGTGTTTCAATCTGTTCATGTGTTTAACACTCATGCTTGCAGTAGGTAACCCCCCCCCCCCCCCCTCCAATTTATTTACCTTCTGGACTTAAAATAATTTGTATTTAAGTTATTTATGGTGCTTCTGTTGTAAACATCTGTTCTGAAGCAGAGAAAGTTGCACTTGTGATAGCATCCTCGTGTCCGATCTCTAAAGATGTACTTACAAGAGTTTGATTTAAGCGTTACACTGCCACGTAATGACTTTCCATTTGATTTGTATATAGTAGATTTTTTTTCTTTAATTTTCTGACCTCAATAATAGTTCTTTTCAGTGTGCTATATGGAAAATGCTTCCTCTCTGATTTGCACAACTAAAGCTCTCCTTGAATGTACTAAATGTTTTCTTTTCCATCTGCATTTTTCCTTGCCTTTAATCTTTCTGCCAGTAGGTGGAGAGGGTTCTTTCTTGTAGCTGCTTCCTGCAGTAACCTTTTTAGTGCATGCTGTTTGCCGTGACTTGAGCCTTGTGCAGAAATGGTTCGAAGCATATAGGAGCAAAGAAGATGTAAACTTTGGAATAAAGCTTTTTGCATTTCTCACCATTATCAAGCATTAAGGTGAAATAAGGTTAGATGCTGACAGAGGTGATCATTTCTGAGAAGATTTAAAGTATTTGATGTACAATTCTCTTTTGATTGTTACAGAATTAATGTTTTGTTAAACAATAAAGATTTAAAAGGTTAAATGTGGAATTCATTAGAAGTGGGATTATAGTTCTTGGGTCTAATGTGGGAATAAGTCATTGTATAACAGAACAACCGTACAGTGTCTCCTTGACTGAACTCCAGCACCTGCAGCTCATCTCTGCTTACTCACCTTTTTTTATTTTTTATTTCTTACTTGCTTGTCCTTAGCTTATTTTTGGCCCGTTCTTGAGAAGTGGGGCAGACACGCTGTCCTCTCCTGCTCTCCGTCGGTGTATAAATACCTCCTCTGAAGCCCAGGATGTTATTTAGGTGCTCAGAGTGAGTCATGTTTGTGGAAAGTCCCCCTTTCTTTCCGTCCTCTATGAAGCCCATGAAATGCAATGATGGCAAAATGACCTGTTTTTAACATTGACAAGTTGTTTTTCAGTGAGTTTTATGTTTTAATAGCTCCTGTAAATAATACAAAAATATCTGGGAAAGTGTTTACGGTAATTATATGAAGAGGTAGTAAATCTGTATGGATATTTTTTTTGTTTATAAGCCGTTCCTGCATATAAATTCTATAAAGTTCCTCTCTAAAGTGTTCATATCCGCTGAATTTTCTCACGTTAACGTTTTGAACTATTGGATACTCTAACCAAGTAGAAAAAGGAACAATGCTTCCTATTTTTTAGAGAACATTAAAAGGAGAGCTGTAATGAGCATTTCTATTCAGTTGTAATTATTTTCATACCCATACAAATGGAAGTGCTACTAGTTCCTTTACCGCAGTGGTTCCCGAACTTTTCTTTCGGGACAGCCCCCCCCTCCACCCCATCCCTTTTGATTTATGAGAAGGTTTCCATGCCCCTTTAATTACCCTGCCACATTTTCAACAGTTGCACAAGGAAATGTCAAGCTCGGTAAATGACATAGTACAATAAATAAAATGAAACTTTTAATCATATAATAAAACATTTTAAGTAACTTTTAATTCTAAAATTGTTTATTTTAGTTGTTACAGAATTCGACATTGTGATCAATAAATTAAAGAGAAGAATACCCCTTAATGTGGAGGTCTTCAACAGGAGGTCCATGGAGGTTCTGCATGGGGGACGCGAACGTTTTGGTTGATTAGACTTTTTCTTTTTTTTTTTTATATTCCCCCTGCAATTTTTCCACTAATTGAAATGTCTTTAAATCCACATTAACATGAATTCAACACACTGTAGTAAACAGATAAAATCAATGCACACATTCAGCGACACTCAAGAGCTCTTTTAAGCTGGGCACCGTTTCATTCACAACACCTGTCCCATCCACCAGGAATCGGAGCAGAAATACTTTAATAATCCCTGGGATTATTAAATACTTTAATTACATTACTCCAGCTGTAAAAGAGTGACTATAGGACCAGTTTGATATAACAATTTATGTAACTAGTGGGTCCCTGCTCCATCTTGCCATCAGTTTGGGGGTCCTTGGCCTGTAAAACGTTGAAGACCCCTGCTTTAATGTATTCATTTGTTCTATTCAATTATACTAGACCCTTCAATTTGGGAACCACTGCCTCATGGAGTTATCCAATTATTAAACATGCTGTTTAAATCTCTTTAGTGGAGGACTTTGTATTGCTCAAATTTGATTTAAACATTTTACATTTAAATTTCAAGCAGTCTGAGGCAGGAAACATGACCCTAAACTCACCATTCCCATAGTGAAACATGGCAGAGGCTGCATCATGGTGTATGGACTCTCATCTTCAGAGAGGGTAGAAGTACTGGGCAACGATGTAAATTTGGATGGAGAAATCCTAGGAAACACTTAAGATTCTCCTTCCAGCAAAAGAAAAGCGAACCTCAACATTCTAGCTTTGTAACCTGGTATAATCCAGATTAATCTGTTTAGTTCAATTTGAAATCTACACAGTGTCAATACTATGATTAAACTGTATGATTAATGTATTGGATAAAGCCTCAGCGATCATCTCATTAATTGTAAAGAAAACAATTTGTGACCCTCTATTAGTGTCTCCCAACCCCCGTGAGGGTTCTTGAGGCTCACTTTGGAAAACACTCTTCTCAGGAAATATATGTTTAAAAGGAGAACAAAAAGTAAAAGCTTCAATCGCCACTAAAAAACTGGTATAAGTTTAAAGGATGATGTCCTTAATTGTTTGGAGCGGTCACTGCTGGTATGTGACACATCACTGCCATGCCTGAGGCATCTGGTGCGTCACCCACTAAAGACGAGGAACGCTGTAACACCCCTGGTGACATGGCATCCAGACGTTGGCAGCTCTAGAAAGGCATGGCAGGGAGTGGTGGGTCCACATGTTTCCATGGAAACAGTTCCTGCATTTCAACATCCCAGAATAACCTGACACATTCTCCCCTTATCCACCTCTAGCCTACTCTGTTCAACAACCCCATCGAATGGGTTTTATTTGATTAGAAATGCATGGGAACCTTGATTGTTTCCTTTAAAGTGCGTTTGGAGCGTTTCTCTGCTGCCCCCCCATGCACAGAAACACATTCGCCCTTGTTGTGTCTGACTATTTGGTCGCTGCAGAAACCGGGTCTCTATATTTGTTGAGCGCTGACATGAGAGAAGGTCACTGAGCCTGAGCTAAACAAAGAAGAGTTTGGAAGAAGGTATAAAGATAGTAGGTGATAACAAGCAGCTGAAAAAACAAAATGAAATGAAGAGAAGAAGCATTCAGGCAGAAGTTGTGTTAATGGAGCTGCTACTGAGAAGCAAGTAATAGTTTCCTTACAGATATCAGGGGTTGACGTTTAGGATTTTTACCACTTGCCCAGAAACAATTTTTACTTGCCCAGTGTAATGCTTGATAAATATAGTTCCTAATATTCATTTTTGTATATATATCAATGAAACATGTTTGTTTTTTAAACGTTTTTTGTAATTCAGTATTTTTTAATTTTACAGGTTCCTGGTGTGTATATGCATGCCTCAGATAATGAACTCAAGCCTACATTACCGTGTTAACATGCCTTTCAATCCTTCCTGCACATTCTTTTCAAACTAAACTTTGCTTTAAACTGTTGTGTGCTTGGAAAAAATACAAATTGTAATGCTAAAAATCTAAAAAAAACTTAAGATAACTTAGGTTAAAAACTTAAGATAAATCACGAGATAGAAGTCAATGTCACAAATGAATAACTTATTTTAGAGTCACATAATTTTTATACAAGATAATACTATTAATATAATGTGACTTTTCTAGAGAATCATTATACAGTTATTTTATACAGGGTTTCCACAGTCTTACATAATTTCAGAATTCCCTGACTTTTAACTGACTCATACGGAAGAGGATTAGGGCCACTGGAAAAAAAAAAAGTAAACTGATTTTTAAATTTTATTTCAGTTTAACATGGGAAAAAAGTCAGAATTCTGAGATTAAAGACAGAATTCTGAGAAAAAAGTCAGAATTCTGACTTTTTTCCCATACTATACTGAAATAAAATAAAAAAAAATCAGTTAACTTTTTTTTTTTTCCAGTGGCCCTAATAATCTTCCGTATACTCAGGATTAGTTTTCCCTGACAAAATAAATGCAGCAACAAGACAATAATAACACAACAGGTCACCAATTTAACATGTTCAGCTCTATAACATTTAAATGCACCTCTCCAATGTCTGAGAGAAAATAAATTAACATTTTTTAATGTATGACCACTGTACAGAAGACTGCCATATGATAGCGCTTTCTAGCT